TATATATATATATATATATATATATATGTATGAATCTGCTGCTGCTGCTGCTGCTGCTGCTGCTGTTATTGTTGTTTGTGTTGGTGCGTGCAGCGTAGCTTCTACTATAGATTTCATAAGAAAGTAGGCAAGGGGGCGTACAGTCGCTTCGTCGAGTTTTATCTGCGGCCTCGCAGTCTAGAGACAACGCAGCAGCTGCTGTTTAATTACAAACCTACATTTGCTGCAGCAAAGGCATCGGGGCTGAAGACACTGCGATGGAGAAAAAGAATTGCTGCTGCTGCTGACTCGCAGCAGCTGCTTCATGTTATTGAAGCCTACCGGTTAGGGACCCTTGCGCTGATGCTGCTGATGCTGCTGTTGTTGCTGCTTATGCTGATGCTTTTGTTGCTGTTGCTGCTGGTGCTGCTGATACTATTGTTGTTGCTGCTTATGCTCATGCTTTTGTTGCTGCTGCTGCTGCTGCTGCTATTGCTGCTGCTGCTGCTGTTTGCATACGAGAGGAGTAGCGTTGCAGTAGGACATGTTTGCTTGTTAATTTATTTGTTTTTGCTGCTGCTGCTGCTGCTGCTGAGGTGTACAGACACGTGAGGCCCCGCAGCTGCTTCTTGCTGCTGCAGTGCTTAGAGCGGCTGGTAGCCCTGGGGGGCTGCGACCCCTCATCCTTTCGCTTCCGCATTCTATGCAGAGATGTTCTCAAAGCTGCTAAGAGATTTCAAAGTTAGCTGCTGCTCCTGCTGCTGCTGCTGCTGTTGATGGTGGTGTTGCTGCTGCTGCTGTTGGTGGTGGTGTTGCTGCTGCTGGTGTTGATAGTCGTGCTGCTGCTGCTGCTGTTGATACTCGTGTTGCTGCTGCTGCTGCTGTTGGTGGTGATGTTGCTGCTGCTGCTGTTGATAGTCGTGTTGCTGCTGCTGCTGTTGATGGTGCTGTTGCTGCTGTTGATGGTGCTGTTGCTGCTGCTGCTGCTGGTGTTGCTGTTGATGGGGGTGTTGTCGCTGTTTCTGCTGCTGCTGCTGCGGGCGTTGCTGCTGCTGATTTAGCAGCTGCTGCATAAGCAATTAAGATTTGAGTGCTGCTGTTGCTGCAGCAGCTGCCCTAGAGGGGCGAAGAGGCTTTCATGGGTGCAAGTCGGCTGCTTGCTGCTGCTGCTGTTTCTGCTGCTGCTGCTGCAGATCTGCCTCGGGTGTGTTGGCTGCTGGCGCAGCTGCGAGCGACAGGAGCAGTAGATGAGCTGACTAGACACCTGAAGCCGCAGGTGCCGCTGCTGTATCCGCAGCAGCTAGCAACAGCAGCAGCAGCACTTGGGGCATGCCGACTGCAGCACAAATCCTTATTAAATGATATAGCAGCAGCAGCAATGCCGTACCTCTCAGATGTCTCCGCAGGGGACCTACTGAAGCTTCTCCAGGTGCTGCTGCTGCTGCTGCTATTTCTGTCGCTGCTGCTGCTGTGGCTGCTGCTGCTGCTGCTGCTATTTCTGTCGCTGCTGCTGCTGTGGCTGCTGCTGCTGCTGCTGCCGCCTCAAGCTGTGGGGTGTACATGCATGCGCTGCATGTTTGTTAGGGGTATGCTGGAGCGAAGCTGCATCACTACGGCCTTATAAGTGCTGTCTCTGAGGAGGTGCAGAGGCGCATTCGGGTTGCAGCAGCAGCTGCTGCTGCAGCTGCAGCAGCAGCAGCTGGTCGTGCTGCTGCTGTGGGTGCACACCATGCACTTGACACCAGCAGCAGCAGCAGCAAAGACGGCGAGGCAGGGGACTTGCTGCTGTCGGGAGCTGACGAGCCCTGGCAGCAGGAAGCCTCAGACGCAGCAGCAGCAGCAGCAACAGCAGCACGAAGACGGCGAAAGCAGCAACAGCAGCAGCAAGGTGGCGGCATTATACCATCCTTAGAGCAGCTGATCTGCTTCCGTGAGACACAGAGCCACACGCATAGCAGCAGCAGCAGCAGCAGCAACAGCAGCAGCAGCAGCAGCCCAAGGCTGCACTGCGAGTTGAGTAGGGCTGCCTGTGTCTGCGTATGAAGCTGGTTGCTGTTGCTGCTGCTGCTGTTGCTGCTGCAGTTGAGGCTTTTGCTGCCCTAAAGTTTACAGACAACGCCTTTGTGCTGATGCTGAGGAGACAGCTGGAGCAGGCGTTCAAGCAGGCCCCACGTGAGGTGTCTCCAAGGGTTTGGGGTTTAGGGTTTAGGGTTTAGGGTTTAGGGTTTAGGGTTTAGGGTTGCAGAGATCTTAGAGAGAAGCCCGTCTTCTCTTTTTTTTCTCCTTATGAGTAATGCTGAAGGAGACAAAGATAGAAGTTCTTGATAAAGGGGCTGTCTCCTTTGCTGCCTAGTGCTCCGTTTAGGGTTTAGGGTTTAGGGTTTAGGGTTTAGGGTTTAGAGCGGGTGTCTCCTCCTTGCCCAGCTGCTGCAGCATCAACAGCAACCTGCTGCGACTGCGACTGCTCATGCTGCTCCTGTTACTGTTGCTGCTGCTGCTGCTGTTGCTGCTGCTGTTGCTGCTGCTGGTGCGCAGCTGGGCGTCCGTTTGCTTTAGTGTCTCCTTCTCTAATTGGGCGAGCTGTCGAGGGTCTCCGTCTGCTGCAGCGCAACGAGAAAGATTTGCTGCTGCAGGCTCTGCAGCAAATTCATGATAATGCTTACGAGTGCTGTCCTTTGAGGTAAGCTGCAGCAGTTGTGCTGTCTCTGTTTGTCTCCTTTATCTGCATTGCAGCCGTAGTAGGTGTCTCCTTTCTTACTGTCTCTTCTCTAACTGTCTCCTTTTTTGATGCCTCCTTTCTCGCCGTCTGTCTCCTTTTGCGGTGTCTGTCTCCTTTTCAATTATGTGTCTCCTTTTGTTCTTTTCTCTGCATTTTCTCTTGCTGTCTCCTCTCTGGGTGTCTCCTTTCTCCTTGTCTGTCTCTTCTTCTTGTCTCTGTCTGTTGTGGGGCCGCAGGTCTTCTTGCTGCTTCTTTGTGTGTCTTTGTATCTGTCTCTTATCTGTCTCCTTTGTGTGTTTGCTTCTGTCTCTTCTTTCTATCATCTGTAAGTGTTTATTCGAGTGTATATTTGTTTGTCTTCTGTCTCCTTTTGTGTGCATGCTTTGTGTCTCCTCTGTCTCCTTCTTGCTGCTGCAGCATCCGTTGGTAGCTGTCTCCTTTATTAGCTGTCTCCTTTATTAGCTGTCTCCTTTATTAGCTGTCTCCTTTATTAGGTGTCTCCTCTATTGGCCGTCTCCTTTATTAGGTGTCTCCTTTATTAGGTGTCTCCTCTATTGGCCGTCTCCTTTATTAGCTGTCTCCTTTATTAGGTGTCTCCTTTATTAGCTGTCTCCTTTATTAGGTGTCTCCTCTGTCTCCTCTTTATTTGCTGCACTGTCTGTCTCCTTTTCTATGTCTCCTTGCGGCCCCCAAAGCAGCCAAGGGCGCCGCCTTGTGTATGGCGTTACTCCTGCTGCTGCTGTTGCTGCTGTTGCTGCTGCTGCTGCTGTCATTGCTGCTGTTGATGATGGCGTTGTTGCTGTTGCTGCTGTGTTTGTGTTGCTGCTGCTGCTGCTGCTGCTGCAGTTTGGTACTGGTGGGCCGCTGCAGCGCTGTGCAGCTGCCGGCTTCGCTGCCGAAGATACGCGAGGTGAAGAGGAGACACTTGATTTGTTTGGGTGTCTCTTTCTTCGTTTTTCTGTCTCCTTTCTCCTCTCTCTTGTCTCCTCTCTGTCTCTTTGTTGCTGCTTCGGTTGTCTCGCCTTGGTCTCCTTCTTGTAGCTCTGCTGCAGCAGCAGCAGCAGCAGCAACAACAACAACGGCAGCAGCAGTAGCAGCAGCTGTGTGGTTAGGCTGTTGTCTCCTTTTTATGTCTGGAGGGAGGAGACAGAAAGGAGACAGAAAGGAGACAGTAGGAGTATGCTGCAGTTGCTGCATGCGTTTGCTTCGGGTGTCTCTGCAGATGCACAGAGGCCTCCTTCTTATCTTAAAGGATATGACGCCTGTCTTAGAGCTCAAGGAAGTGAGAGAAGACAGAGATTATATCTGTCTCTTGTCTTTATTATGCTGCTGCTTAACTGTCTCCTTTCGGGTGTCTCCTCTCCTCTCGTTTGTCTGTGCGTGTGGGGTGTACGGTGTATGCATGCAACAGAGACATACACAGGAGACAGACAACAAACAAACAAAACACAAAACAAAACAAAACAAAGTAATAAGAGACACTTCAGCTGTCTCTACTATCCTTGAAGGCTTTAATAGGGCTGTCTCTGCGTGCATGTTTGCTGCTCTCTTGCTGTTGTTTATTCATTAGGTGGTCTCTGCTGCTGCTTTTGCTGCTGCTGCTGCTGTCTCCCGCTCCCTCAAGGCGGATGTCTTTACGGTGGGGGCCCAATGTTGCTGCTGCTGCTGCTGCTGCTGCTGCTGCTGACTGGCGGTTGCAGTTGCTGTTGCTGCTGCGTGCGGTTGCTGTTGTTCGCGGCTTCTGCTGCGGGGTCTAGGTAGGGCAGGCCCCCAACAGCCTGCTGCTGTTGCAGCCGCAGCAGCCGCTACTGCTGCTGCTACTGCATGCGCTTGCTGCTAAGGTGTCTCCTTTGTCTCCTTAGGGTCTTTCGCAAAGGTTAATGGGCCTTCAAGATTCTCCTGGGGGCCTCAGCGACGTGCCGCTGCTTGCAGAGGTGCGCCTTGCTGCTGGTGCTGCTGCTGCTGCTGCTGCTGTTGCTTTGTGTGTGGGGTATGCGGGTCCCCTTGTGTATGCGTGCATACGCGTTTGCTTGCTGCTGCTTTTGTCTCCTTTCAGATTCTGCTGCGGAGACAACAACTGAAGACAGACTCTTTTGATGTCTTATCGAGGCTGCTGCACAGACACCTCGATGTAATGGAGCCGCAGGACCTCGCCCGCCTCGCACGCTTCTTGGTTTGTCTCCTTTTGTCTCTCTGCTGTCTCCTTTTGTCTCTTTTAGGCCTCCTTTCTGTCTCTTTTCTGTCTCTTTTCTGTCTCCTTTTGTCTCTTTTATGTATCTTATCTGATTCCTTTTGTTTCTCTGCTGTTTTGTCTCTCTGCTGTCTCCTTTTGTCTCACTGCTGTCTCCTTTTGTCTCTCTGCTGTCTCCTTTTGTCTCTTTTGGGCCTCCTTTCTGTCTCTTTTCTGTCTCCTTTTGTCTCTTTTATGTCTCCTATCTGATGCCTTTTGTCTCTCTGCTGTCTCCTTTCTGCCTCCTTTCTGTCTGTTTTGTGTCTCCTTTTTGTCTCTTTTCTGTCTCTGTTCTGTCTCTGTTCGGTTTCCCTTTGTCTCTTTGCTGTCTCCTCCTGTCTCCTTTCTGTCTCCTTTCTGTCTCTTTTTTGTCTCCTTTCTGTCTCTTTGCTGTCTCTTTTTATGTCTCTTTGCTGTCTCCTTTTATGTCTCCTTTTATCTCCTGTCTGTCTCCTTGGGTTTTGTTTTTGTGTTTTTTCTGCATTGTCTGTCTCCTTTTGTCTGCCTTATGATATTTGTTTTTTCTTTTTTGTCTCCTTTTGTATTTCTTTATGTGTCTCCTTTCTGTCTCTCTCTGTCTCCTTTATCTCTTTATCTGTCTCCTTTTGTATTTCTTTTGTCATCACAGCAGCTCCTGCTGCTACTGCCTTTGCTGCTTCTACTACTACTGCTGCTGTTGCCTTTGGTGCTGCTACTGCTACTGCTGCTGCTGCTGCTGCTGCTGCAGAGAGATGCAAAGGAGGCGTCTCTGGGATCGGAGACACTTTTAAATGCTACGAGTCGTCGCGTCCTTCGTCTGAGCCCAGTTTTTGCTGCTGCAGACCTGAAGGAGACAGTTGCTTCTCTCATGCATGCAGGGCCCCCTCAGCGGCGCTACGCTTTGCTGCTGCAGAGAGCAGCAGCAACAGACAGGTAACATCATTATTACTGCTGCTGTTGCTGCTGCTGTTGCTGCGGTTGGTGCTGCTGCTGCTGTTGCTGCTGCTGCTGCAGTCTCTAAACTGCTTTCCTTGCACTGATACAAACATATACCTTCAGCAGCATACAAAAGGAGACAGGTAGCAGCGGAGGTGTCTCTTCTCAGGTGGGGCCGCCCGCTGCTGGAGTCGCCGCAGCATACTGCAGCAGCAGACGCAACAGCAACAGCAGCAGCAGCAGCAGATGCATGCGTCCTCACCCCCGAGGACCTAGAGGGTTCGCTGCAGCGTATCTACCCTACACCCGGCGAGTTGCTGCTGGGTCGCGCAGCAGTGAAAGCGCGTGAGAAGGCGCGAGCAGCAGCAGCAGCAGCTGCTGCTGCTGCTGCTGCTGCTGGGGGCACACCCACAGGCTCAGCGGCATCCTCTGCTGCTGCTGCTGCTGCTGCTGCTGCTGCTGCTGAGTCGCCTGTTCGGAGACGTTATAGCCACCGCAAACGAATATTAGAGGAAGAGGGCTGGGATTTGCTGCATCGCAGGGTGGGGGCAATGAGAGACATTAAGCGCTGGCTTTAAGAGACAGCAGCAGCAGCAAAACAAACAATTTAATCTTCTGCATGCGTGCAGCAGCAGCTCGCAACAACGCCCCTCTAGGCCTTCAGACGCCCCTACACACAGCAACCGCTGCAGCTGCAGCAGCTGCTGCTGTTGCTGCAGCAGCAGCAGCAGCAGCAGCAGCAGAAACCAAAAGTGACGCAGTGTGCAGAAGTACGCGCATGCAGTGTTGAATGCTGGGATAGAAACACAAGCTGGCAGGAGCTGCAGCAGCAGCAGCTGCTGCTGCTGCTGCTGCTCCAGCAGCAGCTGCTGCAGCAACAGCAGCTGCAGCAGCAGGAAGCGAGACCTGCTTCAGTGCCTTCTTCTCAGCATTAAGAAGAGGTTCTATCTGCTGCAGTTGAGTCTCCTGCAGCATATTAAGGTTTGTTTAGTTTGTCTCTGCCGTGTGGCCTCTAGGCACGCAAGCGGCTGCGGCTGCTGCTGCTGCTGCGGCTGCTGCTGCTGCTGCTCTGTCTCCCTTTTAAGTGTCTCTGACTCCTCCGTTGTGCTGCAGTCAGCACATCTGCACTGGGGGAATCAACGCATTTCAATATTTTTCATACAGATACGTCACGCATATATGTATATAAATATATATATATATATATATATACTTATTTATTTGCAGATATATATATATATATTATGTAGATGGGTAGATATAGAGATAGATACATAGATATATAGATATATGTAGACATACATATATAGAGATGCAGAAGTAGGCCTATAAAACATATACATACATATCTATAACATATATATAACATATATATAACATATATATACAACATATATATATATATATATAACATATGACATATATATATATATGCGTCTTATGTTGCTGAGGAGTATATAAAATAAATACGAGTATTTGCTGATGTCAGTATAATAGTGATGAATGCGGGGCTGACAATGCTATAATCTATAATAATAATAATAATAATAATAAATATAATAATGATAATAATAATAAGAATAGAGAACAGAGGTTAGCGCCCTAAGAAGGAGACAATGAAGAAACCAACGGGCTCTGCATTTTCTCAGGGCCCTCCAGCAGCGAGGAGGTGGGGAGGTATTAATGCTGCTGTCTTTGCTTTGCTGCTGCTGTCTTTGCTTTGCTGCTGCTGTCTTTGCTTTGCTGCTGTTGTCTTTGCTTTGCTGCTGCTGTCTTTGCGTTGCTGCTGCATGCTCTAATAGAGCCATAAAGGCATACTAAAGACAGCAGCAGCAGCAGCAGCAGCAGCAGCAGCAGCAGCAGCAGCGGCAGAGGTTTCTTAAGAACCAAACCTCCCCAGAGACACCTCCGCAGCCCCATGCATAGCTGTCTCTGCATGCAGTAAGCAAATAGAGACAGCTTTTAATTCTAAGCTGGAGCAAAGTCTTCGCCTTCTCCTTAAGGCCTGATAAGGAGACTGACGGTGTCTCCCCTCCCTTAGGGCTTCCTCTTGCTTCACACAAGAGAATACCCCCTGTGCTGCTGCAGCAGCATAGTAGGAGGCTGCAGCAGCACAGCAGCAGCAGAAGGCTTACGTTGCTGCAGCAACAATAGCCTTGTTACGCTGCTGCAAAGCAGCATAAACCTTCTCACGCTGCTGCAGCAGCATAAGCCTTCTCACGCTGCTGCAGCAGCATGAGCCTTCTCACGCTGCTGCAGCAGCATAAGGCTTCTGCAGGGGGTCTTAGTGTATATGCAGGTTGGGGTGGCGCAGTGCAGATAAAGAGATACCTACGATAGTTTTATATTCAACGGAGACAGCTTCAGAACAAACAAAACCCCACAGTTTATTCTCCTGGGCAGTTGAGGCTGAGCAGCTGCTCAGGGGTGCTTGCAATCTAGTTCGTGCAGGCGTCTCTATCAGCAGCAGCAGCAGCAGCAGCAGCAGCAGCAGCAGCAGCAAAAGAAAGTTCGTTACAGACAAGAACCCGAAGTCTGCTGTATAGTTTTTTAAGTCTCCTAACTAAGAGGGCAGACCTCATGGGGAGTGAAGCGCACAGGAAAGGAGACCCATAATAAAATATGCATATATAATATATATTATATATATTATATATGTGTGCATATATATATATATATATATATTATATTATATATATATAATATATCATAATAAAATATGTATATGTATACTATACAATATATATATCATATATATATAATACATATATAATATAAATATTATATAAACTAATAATTGGTGAGTTCGAATGCAACGGCGTCACCTCAGGCCGTCTCTACGCAGATATATATATGTATATATATGTATATATATTTGTGTATAAATCTATATCTATATCTGTATATGCATATACACATGCTATACAAATATAGATATATATATAATATACAATATAGTAAGTGAGCAACAGCAAATCGCCGGCAGGCTGAGAATCTGCACCAGAGACCCGAAACCACAAGAGACTGCGGCTTTAGAGACGCAGCAGATCTGCTGCAGCGGTGGGGCTGAGCGCAGCAACTTAGGGAGGGGTAAGGGTAGGATATTTGCTGCTGCAGCTTACTGGGGCTGGCAGCGCATGCAGCACAGCAGCAGCGCAGCAGCAGCACAGCAAAGCCCAGCAGCACCCCCCCATCCATAGAATAAAAGAAATATCAATATCTCTGCAGAGATAATTAATGTTATAACGGTGCACTCTTCTACCCAATGCTTCCTTAGCCTCTCCCTCAAGTCTACAGAGACGCCGCTGGCTGATCGTAGCTAGCAGCGTCTCTTTGCAGCACAACTTCTTCACTCCTTCACTCATTCAGAGACAAGTTTGCAGCTGCTAGGGAGTGGGTGAAGAAAGAAAAAATACTCCCCAAGAGAAGAGCTGCAACAATAAAGTTTAAAAACTGCAGTGCAGTTGTATATATATATATATATATATATATATATATATATGTTAACATACATACATACATATATATATAGGTATATATATAGGCCACTTAAGCGTACAGCCCTTCATTAGAAGCAAAGGAGTATAAACAATTAAAAAAATGCATCACAGTCAGATCAAAACCTTTTTACTGTTCATTCTCGGGCTAATGAGCTGCGCTTCTCTGTATACGTCGCTCCCTTCTTAGGGCCCCTACTGAAGTAAATGCCGGGTTATAATAATATTGTGTGGGTAGAGCTGCTTACCAATACACAATAAATGCAGGGTCATTAGAATGCTCTAATGCAGCATTATAAAAGCCCCGCATCTTGATGCACTGATTGAACATCCGAGCATAAAGATGTTAATAAAAATATTGATAAAGCAGGAGGGGTGTAAGAGTTAATGCGCATATCTCGCAAAAAGCGAAGCCTTCAGTTTAAATGATGGGGGTATGAAGAAAGGGGGAAGGGGGGGAGAGACAAAGAACTCGAGGGGCCTTCGGCTAACTGCTTCTGGGCTGTCTCCTCGTAGGAGCTCCTATTTAATTATTCTTGAGGTAGCAGAGGTTCTCGCCAGCTATTAGGTGTATAGCAGCACAAAATATGAAGTTCATATATATATATCTATATATATATATATATATCTATATATATTATATATATTATATATATATATATATATTTAGGCATAAACATTTACTCTAGAGTGGGTCAATAGGAGGTCGTAGTAGCTGATGCAGATTCTCTCTATCTGTTATTAGATAAATAAAATATCTATCTACTTGCATGCAGCCTCCTCTCCTCCCCACTCTCCTCCCCCGCCTCTTCCTGAGTTTAGAAAGGCTCCGCTTCTAAGACAACATTCATCTGTCTTCATGTTAGCGGAGAACAAAGAGGAGGGGGGGGGCTAAGGTGTTGGTATCTTATTAGGGGCAGCCAACCTCTCAGCGCGCTTCGATTGCATTATAATAGCTGCACTTATATTAAAGAGTCGGGTGCATGTTGTCTGTCTCCACCCCCAAGACATTCTTCATCAGGCTAAGACACCGGATAGGGCCTGGGCTAGCCCGATACTAGCAGCAGAAGCAGCAGTAGTAGCAGCAGCAGCAAGGGGAGGTGGATGTATTCATATTGACTTGCGTATAGGCTGCAGATAGCCATTTGTTTCAGATGTTAGAGCGTAGGTCAAACGCGAGTGTACATAACTTGCATGCAGAGTTGCTTTGGGGCTGGTGCTGCAGCAGGATGTGTTGCTGCACTTCACGAGAGGCCGTCTCCTCTCTCCGTCAGCCCCAGCCCCTTGTGCTGCTCTGTCTATGACCTCCGAAGAGTGGAGGGTGTATAACCTCTTCTTTGTTTGCTCTTATCTAAAGTATATTAGTTTTATTGCTGCTTGCGAAGGCGTTCATTTAGGATCGAAGGCTATCCTTATAGTGCTGCTCCTCCGTCTTTCTCTTAGCTGTCTCCCCTCCCTCTACACAGCGCGCATGCAAACAATTAATAAGCCCTCTACCCACAACTACCGTCTATGGCTGCTGCTGCTGCTGCTACTGCTGTCTACAGATCTTCTCTTTGCTGCGCCTGTCTAATGCTTCTGAGTAGCTCTAGCGGGGCGTGCATGCAGTATAAAGAAGTTTTACATCTTATCCAGTGCTGCAGCAGATTATTTTCTCGTTTGTACACAGCCCCATAAACAGCTTTAATCTCCCTTCTACTTTCACCCTTGCATGCAAACCTAAGCAGGCCCTGTCTCTGCTGCTTGCAACAACATAGACAATATTATTTATATCTTCTTCCTTCAGCATCAACCATCGTGGGCTCCAGAAGATGTATATAAAGCAGCACCTTCAGATATAATCTGCTGCACTGCTGCTTGTTTATATATACTAAACATATAAGAAGTGCGACGCCTCCTCCCTGCAGATCTGCTGCAACGCCAACACCCCTCTTCACCCAGCAGCAGCTGCTGCTAGCTGATTCTGCTACCTCCTGATCCTGCTGCTGCTGCTGCTGCAGCAGCTGCTGCTGCTGCTGCTGCTGCTGCTGCTGCCTGTCTCTACTGACTTCCCCCCTATGGGCCCTCTAAGGAGACTCGGG